TTTACAAAATATCTTCATGGAACATGATCATTACTTAATATCCTAATGATTTTTGGCATAAAAGAAAAATGTATCATTTTGACCCATACGATGTATTGTTGGCTATTGCTACAAATATACCCCAGCGACTTAAGACTGCTTTTGTGCTGCAGGGACACATATATAAGCTTGTTTCTATTTATTTTTAGGAGGAAATTTTGCAACCTTGTTACCATATTTTGGGGCATGTCTGTGTACAGTTTGTATTGTTATAAAAAATACTACAAAAAATAAAATTTAAACATCAAATTGAAATACTTTTTTTTTTCATTTCCTGGCTGTCACACATTTAAAGAATGTTACATTTTATTGTAATGGCCAAAACTATGCAATAGCAAAGCTGCACTTAAAAATCTAAACAGATAAATATGTTTTTCGTAATTAATTCAGTATTTTACTGCAGTGAAGCTGGAAACAGGGTCGTGGATTTCAGACACACAGTTTTCCTTTCTTCCACATTTTCAAGGCATTTGTAACCTTAACAATAATGTGTCTGAAATACCAAAGCAACAACCAGCGGTGTAAATATTTTACTATCTTACCTTGCCAGATCTCTAAAGGGCATTTCCCCAGCTTCATCTTTACTGCAGAAATAACTGCAAATATGCACACAGATGAGCTGAATAAAGCCTTCATGCCCTCTGATGTCTTTATTTGTTTTCAGTTATTCATGAGGAGAAACTTCATTGGACATGAATGTTTTAAAGCTCATATTTTCCTCAGACAGGTAATGGCGCTGGGTTTGTTTGTTTGTGACTGCTGGGAAACGTCTCAGGTTACTTATGTAACCATGGTTCCCTGAGTAGGGAACGAGACACTGCGTCCTCTAGGGGCCTCTATGGGGAACGCCTCGTCGTGACCCGTGTCTGAAGCATACATTGAAAAAACACCAACTCGTAGGCCGGCGACAGCCATGACGTCACTAACGGTGCGATTATAGTATAAATAGGTGCCGGGAGCACACATCATTCACTTCTTCGTCTGAAGCTTGCGTCCGCAGCATGGCAAGAAACCTAGAGGGCTTACTTACCTTCTGGACATATAACGACGAGTGAAACACTGCAAGTCTAGCACCCGGTTTCTGAACCCAGCAGCGGGGGTGCCCACCGAGGACCTACCCTAGAAAGGGACAGAAACACACAGGTCGCGGGAAACACTGCAAAGTAACTAGCAGAAGGGTTATACACACAACCACCAGTTCATTATTTATATATTTATAAATACATATATTTAGACATGGATCGTTTTTTTCTTGGAAATGCAGGCTTCAAACAGAACAGTCAATGAAGACGAAGAAGAGAATGATGTGTGCTCCCGGCGCCTATTTATACTATAGTCACACCGGTAGTGACGTCATGGCTGTCGCCGGCCAACGAGTTGGTGTTTTTTCAATGTATGCTTCAGACACGGGTCACGACGAGGCGTTCCCCATAGCGGCCCCTAGAGGACGCAGTTCGAAGTTCCCATGAAGGGGAACTGCTGCATTACTCTGTTACCAAACACACAGGCTACATTTTAAAAAGCTGCAAATCAGGCAGGCTGTTCCTCACCTGTCTTGTTCATAATAACTATAAAATCGATCTGTCATGTAATTACTGCTGCTCCTACAAAGCTGTGAGGAGGTCCATTGGGCAGCGTGTGCGGTGCGGGAAGAGTAGCTGCTGTGTTCATGTGCTTGTAATTACACAGCATGATGTCCAAGAGAGAAAAACTTCAGCTCTGATGCCTGACAGTGCAGATACAACACATGCTCTGCTCCAATACAAGCTCAATGGACTACTGCTGCAAATCACTTCCACTGGAGCCTTTAGATGAACACAAACGCAAATCCTGCTCTCAGTAATGCACTTACAGTGGAGGTCAATGGGGCAGGTGTACCAGAGGAATTAAAAGCACAAATGTCAAGCTGGTATGTTTGTTAAAGAGATAGTTCACCCCAAAAAAATGAAAATTTGCTGTTAATTTGCTCACACATAGGCCATGCAAAATGTAAGCGACTTATTTCTTCAGCAGAACAGAAAAGAAGATTTTTAGCTGAAACTGTGCTCCTTGGTGATTCATAACATTCAAGTCAGCAGCTGCCCATCTTTGAGAATTAAAAAAAGCATATCGGGCAACAAAATTAATTACCATGGCTCCTGGCGATGGGTCTGGGCAAGAAACTGAACATTATTCACAACATTATTACCTGTAATCCAGAGCCTCAGGCAAATGGGGAAATACGATTCAGTTGGATTCAATGAACTAGTTCAAAACACTGATTCACCAGCAAACATGTAATGCTGTGATGTATGTGCAATTATATTATTAAAGCACCCCATAATGATATGAAACATGGATATATTACATGTCTAAAGCATATAAAGTTTATCAGCTCGACTTTTTACTTAATGAGAAACCATAAAACAATCATTTGGCCCCTTCATTCAAGTGTTTGTCTGAAAGTGAGTTTTGATTGAGTAACTTATAGATCTGTGCTGCTTGAGTCACGAACTGTTCAAATGATTGAGTCTGATTTGGTGAACTGGTTCAACTATTTTTTTTTTTTTAATTCTCAAAGCTAAGCGGCCGCATTTTATGAATCTCCAAGGAGCACGATTTCAGCTAAAAATCTTCTTTACTGTTCTACTGAAGAACTAGATCTCGAATGGCATGAACGTGAGTAAATTAACAGCACATTTTATTTTTGGGTGAACTATCCCTTTAGCATTATGATTTAAATTTAAATTGTTATTCATTACAAATCTTCCCCCAGACATTTATCAGTTTCTTAGCTGTTCCTGCTCTTTTGTGCCTTACCCTTGTGAAAATTAACCATAGTTTTATTATGGTAAAAGTGTAGTAACCATGTTTTTTTAGCGTATTGATTACTGTTTGTATAACCACAGTTTTACTACAAATACCATATTTATACTATGGTTAGTGTTACAAAATTAATTTGTGGTTACCATGGTTTAACTATGGTAACCATGGTTTTTGTTTTATTTGTAGTAAACCATGGTTAATTTTCGTAAACATCACTGTAATGGACAGCCTGTCATGGTTTACTTCTGTCATGGTTTCTGATTCAGTGTACTGAAGGCATTTGATACTATCAAGTGATCAAGTTTTTGATACTAAAGGAGAGCCTGAGAAAACAGCACAGAGAGATAGTTTTCAAAACAGCTGATATTATTCTACTGAAACATTAGACTGACTAAATATCTTCTTAAGCTCTAAAATGTCCCAAAAATCCTTTGACCCACAGTGTGAGTCCTGAACAAAGCAATGTTTCTTATCAGAGTGCTTTAGTGAAGCCATTGACAGTATATAAAGCTGCATAATGCAACTCCACAGTATATCATGCTCAGGCCATCCATGTGTATTAGTTTGACTCACAGCTCATAATGAGAGACAGAGATGTAAAAAGACAAATAGAGCGAGTCTGACAGTCAGTACAGAAAAACTGTCTTTGGTGACGTTAGCGTCTAACAAAGCAGTCGCCCAATATCTGACAAGCACACATTGACTTTAAACCCATTAACTCATAGTTACAGTTCCTCCGTCTGGCCTGTTGACCTCGAATTACTGTCCTCATGCAGAATAGAGCTGTCATCATTATCAGAGAGCGGTCAGCCAGGCCTCCTTCATGAATGAGATAAAGCCATTCTCATGTAAATTGCTGCATTCGGTTGACATTTGCTAATTATTTCTGTGAACGATTAACCCAGATTCATCATGAATGAATCGTTTGATCTGTTCTCTGCAGTCCCTCAGCTCATCTTCTGTGGACGTGCTCACCGGCTCCACAAACAGCTGCTGACTGTCTCAACACTCGTTTCTCATTTGACATGCAAGCGTTGCATTATGCTGTTCCAGACACCTGCCCAACACACACTCACTCACGCTGGATTCATTCTTAAACTGCTTTGACAGTATTTCATATGTTCTTGCACACAGTATGGGCATTTTCTGTCATACTTCAAGCGAAAATCACTTGAATACTTTCCAGAAAATGTTGCTCTGTTTAGACCTTCAAATTACCATTGGTCTGGGGTGATGATGTCACATGTGGCTGTGGCTCAGTTGCTCCACCTTCTTTGACATGAAAATCTTCTCCGGTTCATTTCCTTCGGTTCAGTCCATCAAGGTGAGAGACCAGTAAAACCATGAACACATTAGAGAACTGTTTTAGAGATAAAACCAAATTTGTAATTTTAACTGAAAGCAACATTGACACAGAGCTGGTGCAAACATACGCACATCACTATGATCAGATGCTTTCTTAACTGCTGTTTTCTCACCACTGTCATTTTTGTTGTGTGTTTATTTTTTAGAGGAAACCTAGATCTTTATAAAGCTGTTTAGAGGTGGTAAACCACACTGTAGTAACAATAAACCAGCTTCCATGTTCCAAAATCCATCTTATGCTAATATTACATCATGTTTTCAATTCCAGTTTTTGTTTTGTAGTTTTCATAGAAGACGATTGGTGTACTGTAAATTATGTACTATTTAAACTGCAATAGACTTAAAATTACTGTCCGGCTTTCCCTGAAGACACAGTTCATGTAACAATTTAGTTTAGGGACCAATTTTCTCTAGTAACTAGCTGCTTATTAGCATGCGTATTGCTAGCATATTGGCTGTTTATTAGTACGTATAAAGCACATATTAATGTCTTATTCTCAGTGTTGGGGAAGCTACTCTGAAACTGTAGCTTGACCAGCTACAAGCTACTAGTAAATTAAAGTAATTAAGCTACATTCAAGCTACCCTTTTGAAAAAGTATCTATAGCTACCCTACAAGTTTCTATCAAAAAGTAGCTAGCTACATTGAAAATACTTTCAATTTTTTATTATTATTAATTATTAATTAATTGTATTTTTTACAGTTACCATTACAAATAACTAAATAATTGTTAATGAAGAATTAAAATGAAGTTATAAGTAAAATATAATGAAGATATAAGTAAAATATTTGGAGTTTAAAACAACATATTGTAATGCAATCAAGATTTCAAAGAGTAGGGTGAATTCAGATTGATTGGGACACTGACATGTGGCCAAGTATGGTGACCCATACTCGGAATTAGTGCTCTGCATTTATCCCATCCAAAGTGCACACACACAGCAGTGAACACACACCGTGAACACACACCCAGAGCAGTGGGCAGCCATTTTTTGCTGCGGCGCCCGGGGAGCAGTTGGGGGTTCGGTGCCTTGCTCAAGGGCACCTCAGTCGTGGTATTGAAGGTGGAAGAGAGCGCTGTACATTCACTCCCCCCACCTACAATCCCTGCCGGTACGAGACTTGAACCCGCAACCTTTGGGTTATGAGTCCGACTCTCTAACCATTAGGCCACGACGATTCATCGTGCAGCCCTAGATTAGACCCTTCCTATCAGAGCAGGCCACACAACTCCTTGTCCAAGCTCTTGTTCTCTCCAGGATGGACTATTGTAATGCTCTCTTGGCAGGCCTTCCAGCATGTACTATCAAGCCATGTACCATCGAGTCATCATCAACGAGCCGAAGAAAGCCCATGTCAGACCTCTCTTCATCAGTATGCACTGGCTGTCAATAGTCGCTTGCATCAAATTCAAGGTACTGATGCTTGCCTACAAGATAACCACTGGCTCAGCACCAATATACCTAAACTCGCTAGTTCAGACTTATGCACTCTCCAGAAGCTTGCGTTCTGCAGGTGAACGAAGCCATCGCAAAAAGGTACAAAATCACTCTCACAGACCTTTTCCTGGACAGTTCCCAGCTGGTGGAACGACCTGCCTATCTCAATTTGAGCAGCCAAGTATTTAGCCATTTTCAAAAAACATCAAAAGACACATCTTTTTCATCAGCACCTGACCTATTAATACAAGCATTTACCTATTCTATTCTATTCTATTCATGTTTTATCATTTATTTAATAAAAACCTTGCTATGTATACTGTGCTAGACTAACTTGTCTGTGAGACTTGTCACAGCAGTCGTATACTGTTGCCCTCATGTTGGTCTGATTGCTTCTATTGTTCTCCTCATTTGTAAATTGACTGATGATGACTTCTATAATTTGTGGGTTCTTTGATGACTGCATAGTCCAATGCGAGAAGCACGCTGTCTTTTACAGACAGGGCTTGTAAAAAAATTCTCCAGGTTGTCTGGTTGAACAAGCATGGCCTGCTTTCTCTTTTTGCTTTTGCCTTTGGACAGACAGTGTTCAGTTTTCTTGCTCTCATAACTCAGTACTCCATTCTGACAAAGTTACTGCCAAACTATGTGATTCATTGCATTAGTTTCCAAAGTTGTGGGCTGTATCGCAAACTTCTTAAGGAAGGCTTTTACTTGGTCTTTCAGACACTTTTTTGGCCTCCTGCAGAACAGTGGCAGATATGTAATTGACCACACAGTATCTTGGAAGCACATGGAATGCGATTTGCTGGCATTCCGATAACATGACCAAGCCATCTCAGTTGGTAAAGTATTATGGTTGCTTATATACTCCAGCAGTTATGTGGCACTCAATCTTGCCATGTCATTTTGAGGATGCGCTGCAGGTACTTGATGTGGAAGGATTTCAATATCTTTAGGTGTCGAGCCATAATCCAGGTTTCACAGTCATATAGGAGGGTGGAGATATAGATTGCCTGAGCTCTTTCAGACGAAGCAGTTGCGTTTCATATTCCGGTTTCTTAAGCTCAAGATCTAGCTCTTTCAAACTAACAGTTACCATTGGATCTAACTGAAAAGCTTTTTTACAGCTTACCGAATAAACTTCGCCGGTTAACTCCTCTCCATCAGACTCTGCCTCAGAACTTCTAGTTACGGCATGTTCAGTCAAAATACCAGTCTCTACTACCCTAGTGTACAACTCATCTTTAATAACCTGCTTTCTCCCCCCTTTAGAAACAGTTATATTAAAGAAATCCGCTATCTGTATCAGGTCTATTTTCCTACACCGTTCAAATTCTCTCAGCGTAGGCGAAAGAGTGAACTTAACTGAATCAAAATCCATCCTAAAACCCTATAACCTTCCTCCACATCAACGGTTCAAAACAGCCAAGCAAAGGTTTTGAAGATGAATATAACGATTTAAACAAACGAATGGGCCAATTGTCACAAACAAACGAACCCACACTTACCATGAGCAGACCAATTCCAATTATCACGTACGGACGAATCGAACAAGCAGACAGATTTTTTTTTATCCGATTTTTTACAGATAAACAAACCCACAATTTTCATAAACGAACAACTGGACAAACAGACAAGCCCTCAATTTGCCACGCATCACATGCGGACAATTCGTTACAAACCTTTTGTAAGGAGCCTTTAACTCATTACGACGAGCCTTCAATTGTCACAATCCGGGTGTCACGATCGGACGAGCCCCCAATTGTTACGTTCTCCCCAGTCTAGGGTTGGGGATAACGAACAAGTAATTTAGAATAAAGATAATTGAGCAACAATACCCGCCCCTCTCCTGTCCCAGCTCACACACGGAAACACAACGGAGCAAGAGTAAATCAAACAATAAGCTTTTAATTCACAAAGTATCATATAACAGGAAGCGTGAATCTTCAGGAGGGGTCAAGGCCAAAATAACAAACAAAAGAAGAACTAACTAAAACATTAATTAGACAGTAACTTACCTAACAAATCAAAACCCAAACAAGATACAATACTCTCCCCTTAATCCCTAGCTGTCAATAAACAGGAGATAACAAGGGATCATAAAGTAAATGGCAACCTCCTCCCTACGGCTTCCGAAACAAACACATATGAATAACACCGGAACAAAAGACTCTCACTCAGAATGGCAGCAACCCGTCACCTATCACAAGACCACAGGTGCATTGAATGTCTGGGGCAGGAGACGGTGGGCAGTAACGGCAACGACCAACACCGCAGAGCTCAGCACGCCGCTCTCCACACGCGCCCTCTCCCTGCTCTGCTCGCGTACAATGCTCACGCTCACTCGGGCTCAGTGCTCCTCTCTTCTCCTCTTCTTTCTCAGCTTTTAACCACTCTCACTCATCCACGTAATCAGCTGCAGCTGCGTCCAATCAACACTGCAAGCAGAGTGAAAGGGAGAAAGAGAGAGAGAGACGGGAAACGACACAATGCATAGAACATCTCTGCACATTGACCAATCAGAATAAACAATAAAAACACTTATGTCCGGAGGACGTAACAGTGTAGATGTATGTAGATGTAATTTGGTGTTGCTGAACACTCTTTTCCTCAGTCTTCCAAATGTTGATGCAGCCTGCTTGATCCTCTACTGAACATCTTGATCCATGCTACAGTCCCAACATAAATAACTGCCAAGGTATTTGAAGTATGGCACTATAGTGAATGGGAATGAATAGTGAATACTGAAGGTATTTGTAGAGTATCTGATGAACATTGACTGAGGACTTCTGTTTTCTTGATATTTACAGCTAGTCCCATCCTGCTGTATGCTCTATTAGCAGCTTTAAGAATGGACTGCAAACCTTCTGGAGTATGTGATACTTGGGCACAATCATCCGCATTCTGCAATTCCAGCACACAAACCAGCTGAAGCGTAGTAAATGCCTGTAACCTCCTGATGTTAAAGAGGTTACCAGCGAATCTATAACTCCGCTTTCTTCTTCCACATCTTTATACAGAAGCTTTGTTAACACACATTAAGAAGATATTGAATAAGACTGGTGTAATAACACAGCCCTGCCTTACTCCAGTGCCTACTGCAAAGGGAGCAGATTCTAATCCACCCAATATCAATTTGTCAGTCATCCAATCATGAAACTGTCGCAAGATGGTGGTAAACTTTACAGAGCTTTCAAAATGCAAAGGCTCTTTCCATAGAAGATCGCGATGTACAGTTTCAAAAGCCTTGGAAAGATCCACAAAAGCAATTAACAGGTTCTTGTGTTGTTTGCAACATTTCTCTTCAAGCTGGCGTGAGTAAATATCATAGCCACTGTACTTCGACTTGCTCTGAAACAACTTTGAGATTCCGTCAATAGATACAGAAATAGTATTGACAAATCAATGGAGCATGACCTTTGCCAGAACTTTGCCTGCAGCTGAAAGGAGTGAGATCCCCCTCCTATTTTCACAGATGGATCAGTCGCCCTTGTTTTCATAAATTGTGGCAATATTTGCATCCTTCCAATGTTGGGGAATATTTTCTTGCTGCCACACTAGGGTAATGAACTGATGGATTGCCCTTGTGCAGAGTTACCCTCTTTCCTTCAGGAGCACAGCAGGAATAAAACAAGGTCCAGGGGACTTTTCAGTTCCTTTGTTGCAGCATACGCTTCATAAAACGAAGGCAGTGCATCAAGACTTTATGCTTGGAAGAGTTGGTAATACCTCCAGTACTGCAAGATCAACTGATGCCTTCTGGTCTAATAAGGCTTGAAAATGCTCTCCTATCTTTGAACAATGCCTGCTTGGTCCTTACTGATGGTCAGCTCATTAGCTGTTCTTAAAAGGCAGAAAGAGTGAGATCCTGGACCATAAATGGCCTTCTCCTTGCACTGTAAAAAAAAATATGCATATCATGCTTGTCTGCATAAGATTGTATCTATTGAGCTTTAGACGCCCACCATTGATTCTGCAGTTGCCACAAGGTCAGTTGCATTACTTTTCTCTGTTCATGCCAGACCTTCTTTAATGGTTCAGACGATTGATTATTAAGGTAGGCTTTGTGGGCACTGTGCATTTTTTCAAAGAAGGGTGGAAATACGTGTGGAATTTTGATCAAGCCAATCCTGATTTCTTTTTTTTTTTTGAGCTTATACCAATTGATTCAACTGCTGCATCTTTAAGTAATGTACTTATAAAGCTCCATTTACTGTCAATTGCCTCTTCATTTGTCAGTAGAAGCTCAATGTCAAGTAGCTTATTAACAACAGAGTGTTGATAGTTAATTATTCCATTCCAAATGTCACTATTTTTTCCCACTCTTGCATTGAAATCACCCAGCAGCAAGATTTTGTTGCCAAATGGAGCTGTCCCAAGGGCCTCATCCTGTTTCTAATAAAAGCTACCCTTCACCCTGTTCTGATGGAAGACTCTGTGCATAAGCACTGAATATAGTGAAAGCATTGGCATTTTTAAAAAGTCATGCGAACATATTTACTCCATGAACATGGAAAACAGCGATAGAGGCATTTGCCTGTTGTCTGCAGTGTTGTTTTCTTTTCTCAGCCTCGATTATATGTAACAATTTAAGTTGTCATAGAAGATTTAGTCAGATTTTCATGCTCCTTCAATCATGTAAATTGTGGGTTTACATTCCATCTCCGTTATCACGAAACGCACAACACACAACATAAACAGCTCAGATCACAGTGTCCTCCATTCACCGGTCGTTGTCGTTTGCAAATGCCACGCATAAAGATGTTGCTGTTGGCTGCTTCAGAGTTCTTGCTACCGGTGCGAATGCAAGCAGGAAAATGGCCCAAGGGGGAAATTAGTTCTCTAGGAACGACCCTACTGGGGTCTAAATTCCTAGAACTACATGGTGCAAAAGCCCCTCATGTAGATCTTGACCTCCCATAGGATACCCTCTCCAGAATAATGTATAACCCTCAACTTTAGAGGTCCTTCACCCAAAAGTCTAGTCTCACTTAGCGCAACTATGTCAATGTTATAACACTTGAGTTGAGCAGCGACCAATGCTGTCCTTCGACTAGGCAAGTTCGGTCCTAGAGAGCCGCAGTCCTGCAGAGTTCAGCTCCAACCCTGAAAAAAAAGCTCACCTGCCTATAGCCTTAGTAATCCTGAAGACATTGATTAGCTTGTTCAGGTGTGTTTGATTAGGGTTGGAGCTGAACTCTGCAGAACTGAACTTGCCTACCCCTGGACTAGGCCGATTAGTGCCATGATTTAAATCCAGGAGAGTTCTAACATTCCACGTTGCTGTGCATAATGGCATATATTTCTTTTGGATGTTGCGGCCACTGAGACAGAATGACCCGATAGGTGTGGCATCCTATCCAGGTTTGGTCTGAGTGGGCAATGTTTGGATAACCTTTTCTAGATCCTTCCCTAATAGGGGTGAGCAATGCGATTCATTTATAGAGCTGCTCAGAAACACAGGGGTCTGCCGAGAGCAGCTGATGCTCATTCCAGCTGCTAGCAACCATATACAGTGCCTTGCGAAAGTATTCATACCCCTTAATTTTTTTCACGTTTTGTTATGTTGCTGCCTTATGTTAAACTGCTTTAAATTACTTTTTTTCCACATCAATCTACACTCCATACACTAAATTGGTAAAGCAAAAAATCGATTTTTAACATCTTTGCAAAATTATTGAAAATAAAAAACTTAAATTATTCCATTGCATAAGTATTCATACCCTTATCTGGGACAGTTGACATTCATATTGCTTGTAGATGTTACTACACTTCGGGTGAAGTTAACCTGTGGCAAATTCAATTGAATGGGTATGATTTGGAAAGGCACACACGTCT